GTGTGGGGCGGAGCTCCAGCTAGGCAAAGTCTAGCAATAAATAATTTTCATAACATAATTGTTATTTAAAATAGGGTGGCTAGCGTTAAAAAACACCTGTATATTTTTTAATTTTTAAATTCATTTTAAAATATTTAATTTCGTTGCTCCAAGATTTTTATTTAAAAATGAACTATTTGGAATATTTTAAGGTTTATTTAAATTACTTTTGTCTTTATTATTATATATTAAATAATATGCTTGATAAAATATTATGCAAATGTACAATATTTTAATAATTAGGACAAATATTTATTTATTTTTGGTCACTGGTTTAGATCAATATTTCCAATCATATTCTTTTTGTAAATTTACTCGCTGAGGAGACCAACAAAAGTACAATTGAATAAAAGCATATTAGTGTACTAAACAAGCACTAGATTCGATGCCATGTAATCGAATTGACTAATTAAAAGATATTTATTTTTTATTTTCCGTGCTTGTTTAAGTACTACGCAAGTAAAAAAACAACTTTTTTTTATTTATTTAAAAAATATTAACAATTTTGGTTGCAAATTTTTTTTATTCAGACTTTCTGTTGTTTTTAAATAGGCGTGTGATGTGATCGATTTTATTTTTGCGTTGGCTGCCATATACAGGGTGGCCCACCACTCACTGACAACTTAAATAACTTTTGATCCAGTTAATATTTTTAGCTGATTTTTTTTTTAAATATTAGTTAGACGTTAGGTCCATAGCTATATCTCAATAATTAATTTTTTTACATTTTATTAAAAATATTAATTATTTTTAAATTTTAAATAAAATGTAAAAAAAAAATCTAAGATAGCTATTTTGTAGAGTAGAATTTAAGAAAAATTTTAGTAAAAAAATATCTTATTAATATTCAGTAGTAAATATTCTGTAGCGTTTTGAAGTTTGTGAAAATTTGAATTTTCATGTACTATTTTACGGTATTAAACATTGAAATACGTATTGAGAAAAGGACAGAAGAAAACGCTATCTTTTCAATATACTTTTGAATGAGAGTGATAAGTAATAATTGCCTTATCTAATTTCTTATCATGGTATTTATGCCAAGTTTGTAATGTATACACACTATCATCATATGTATACACAGTAATCATGAAAAGATAGCGTTTTCTTCTGTCCTTTTCTCAATACGTATTTCAATGTTTAATACCGTAAAATAGTACATGAAAATTCAAATTTTCACAAACTTCAAAACGCTACAGAATATTTACTACTGAATATTAATAAGATATTTTTTTACTAAAATTTTTCTTAAATTCTACTCTACAAAATAGCTATCTTAGATTTTTTTTTTACATTTTATTTAAAATTTAAAAATAATTAATATTTTTAATAAAATGTAAAAAAATTAATTATTGAGATATAGCTATAGACCTAACGTATAACTAATATTATAAAAAAAAAATCAACTAAAAATATTAACTAGATCAAAAGTTATTTAAGTTGTCAGTGAGTGGTGGGCCACTCTGTATACTAAATTTTATAAAAATTTTAAGCAAACTGGTATATTAGTACAATTGATAAAGACACATTTATTGAATGTAGTAACTTAGAATGATAATAATTCTAATTACCCATCGTAATCATATATCATAACAATAAATATTTGCATTAATTATTTTTAGAAACTTAGAATGACCTCAACTTACATTAAAAATTTTATTAAAAAATGGATAATTTTTTTTTTAAAAATCTTCTTAAATAAAATATAATATAATTAGTTTTTTAAATGTTTTAGCAGTTAAAAATAGTGTCTCATAAATAATGTATGGATGCTGCTATGAAAATAGAATCTGTGACGTCATGCTCTTATTTAATATCACCCTTAAGTTAACAACGAGCAATTTGAAAAAAAAATTTTCTATCAAAATGTGTCATTTTTTAAGTAAAAGTTATTTTTTTTATTGAGTTGTCCTTTAATATTTAAAAAGTATTAAAAATATGCCAGAAAAAATAAATTCAAAATGAATATTTGAACTTTTACTTTTTCTAACTCAAAATCTATAAATCTGTTGTAGCTATTTGATTATAAAAATACTTTCTATAAAAAAACTAACATTTATTTACACTACTAATACCTAAAAGATTCAAGCAACTAATAGGAATTTTTGTTCAACTGTTTTAAATAATTCTACTAAATCTAATATTTATTTTTATAACAGTTTTATAACAATATCGTTCATTAAATATTTATGTACAATATTATATTTTATGCATATTAAGATAATATAAAATACTTGAATTCTCTTTTTGTTCTAGAGATTCTCCCATAATTAGGTTTATATTATTTAATGAAATATTATACTGACTTAATAATTGTATCGATATATTTACAAAAAAAACAAATGTCATCTTAATTTCAAATTTAAGAAAACTATTGAAATACAGTAAATATTTGTAATGATAAACTCATTTTTAAATATTATAATATTTACTTTGTTGAAGTCAATAATTAAAATTTGACAATGGCACTTTTAATAACACTTAAAGTGCTATATATGATATAATTTTATATAGAGGATAGTGGTCGAATGGCGTCCCCTTAAGGAAAACTCTCAACAAAAATTATATAATTTTTCATTTATATTTATATACTTTTAATTCCTATTGATATAAATTAGAATTAAATATTGATATATATATATATATATATATACATATATATTAACTTGTCCATTACCAATATCTATTAATTTTAAGTAAAAATTATATTTGTGGGGTATTTTACATATGTTGATTTGCATTATCGTACAATTTAGTTGCAGCAAAAAGAATTTCAAATTTGTCTTTATAAAAATAAAATTGTTATACACAGATAGGTTAATAATATTTTATTTATGTTCTTGTCTCTTGATAAAAACTTATTATAACAATAGTATTTCTTTCACAAAAATATTATCACTTCAACTATAAAAAAATATAAAAACTGTGTTAATATTAAATAACATATTTTAAAATCAAATTATCATATCATAATTATATAAAATTTAACAAATTTAATAAGGATGTTCGAAAAATAATTTGCAGCAACAGTTAATAATAAATTCTGAGTGGAAGTTATTAACTCCAATATCACTTTTTCACGTTTAAATGCTTATATAATTTTATAACTATGAGTTATAAATATTTAATTACAACGAATAATTAAAATTACTTATATTTAATGACTGCTTAAAGTTTATAATTTAGTTAAACTAAATAAATATATTGATATTATTAGCTTAAATCCATCAAGCCGAATAATTAGATCAATAGGCTATTAAAATATAATTCACATATATAATTTTAATGACTAAGTGTATATCCAAAAATATACATTTAATAAATCTCGAAAAGGTTGTAACATTTGCTGCTATTGACTATAATTCATTAAGTTAATTCAAAGGCCAGATATCAAAGTGTACAATATTACTGGGTAATGCTGGGATGCGACTGTTTTTTTCTTATGTAGTACTATAGATACCATATATTCATCATGATGAATATATAAAACCTGCATTTTATTTACTCCAGTGAAAAAACCATAATAAAAACTATGACTTTTCCTATAAATTGATTCATGCATACAATTTATAAGTTTTATACCAATTTAAAAAACTAAAATATCAAATAATATAGAGTCGATCATAAAACACGCATATAATATACAATAAATGGAATTTAAATTTACAACGGTTTGATTGACGCTTAGAGATCAGAGGACAATATTGTGAAGTTATTAAAAATGCAATTTGTTATGCGCATATTCAGTATAAATTAAACTTTTTCTATCTTATATAATTTACCAATATTTTATTTATGCGTACCAAAAAAAAAAAAAAATTGGAATTATACCCTGCGTCTCTACACTATCCATGTGCTAGTTGACTGAACAAAAATTGAATATATTTGAGCTCTTTAAAAACCTAAACATAAGTCAACTGTTTCATGGTGGGTGAAATTCGCTGATAAGAGACATAGGTTCATCAAAACTTTATTTTGTATGCCTAAATGGCGGATTAGACGAATTGACTGCAGTTTTTACGACCACTCGGTAAGCAGTATTGCAATGGCCGTAAAAGTTTTTATTGCTGCTCGCACAACTTCTTGTAAGTTATCACCATTAAAATGTAGGTTAAAGGGTTTCTGACGATAAGTAAGGAAGAATCGAGAAATTACAACCACCTTAGAAAAAAACTTAAATTTCAGGCAAAATGTTAGTAAAAATCTTGCAATTACTAATAAACGAAGTATTAACATGTGAACATTTAAAACTTGTGTATTACTACATATTTTAAGAGTTCTTGACCTTTCATGACGTAAGAAAGCCTTCCTCTTAAGCTAACATTTTATTTAACGTAGTTTTTGATAATTTTTTGTTGTTTTCTAGTAAATCTATAAATTGTTCACTTCCCGTTTTTTTTTTTTTTTTTGGTTAAATTTTTAAAGTTTTATTGTAGATTTAAGTTGGTCTAACATTTTTTATTATAATTTTTTTTCTAGCAATCTATAGAATAAGTTCTGAAATTACTGCTTGAAGTATACAACTTACTTCTTATTACTTAGAAGTCTATCTGCTAATTTTGTTTGTTTGAAAAATTTCAGTACTCAAACTGAAGTAAAATCTATATTTATATAGTTATCACGGATGATGTGATTTTAAATAACAAAAATAAACTGACCGCACTGTTTGGATGTAAAAAAAACAAGATTGGGCAAAAATGAAGGGTAGCATTTAAATGTAAATAATACTTTTTTACAAAATTATGATGTGCTATACTTAAAAGTACTAGATAAATTGGAATCAATAAATTAAGAAATTCAGGAGACCAATTTGCGTTTTCACTTTTTATATTAGAGCAGTTGAATAGGTCGATACCTATAACATTTAGAATTCTGAATAAATAATAATAAACTTATTAAATTTTTATACTATGATCTATATAAAAACAGTGGAGGATAATTTATAACTATATTGATCTTTATAGGTTTGCTGGGACAAGATGAATCAAGTTCTATGGCTACAATGACAAAGAGTAGCTATAACTCGCCACAAATAACACATACTATTCTGCCATCATTGTCATCATCATCACACAGTCAGTTACCAAGTCAATCCAAGTCGCCAAAAACTTCTTCGTGGCCATCTAGTACTTGGATTTTGGAAGCGATGAAAAAAATGAAAAAAGCCAATGAAATTGATGTCTATGACTACAACGACGACAACAATGATGATGAAAACGATACTGATGAAGATGAAGGATTCATGACCACCACTATATATCCTACGAGGAAGCGATATAAAACTCAAACAGGACATATGTCCAGGTAAAAGTATTTCAATATACATATGTAATTAATCAAAGATTACTAAAGTATTAACTTATTATAAATACCTAGGTATCAATTTAAACGCGTTAACGGGTATGCGGACAATGACCGTATAAATGGTACTTATGTAGCTGTTTTTTCCATGTCAAATGACGATCTCAACAATAATCACATAGCTAAAGCTCAAAATAAACCACTTACAAGCAAAGAACACCAACTGGTAAAATATTACAATCATTTCATTACGATATGTTTTAATCTGATACATAACTTAATAATTGTGTAAAAAACATAATCTATTTATACTTAATTTTTTTAGCAAAAAAAAAATAATTGTGTAGGCATTATCTACTAAACCACATTGATAAATTTTATATTTAGTGTAAATTGTAATACTGTAAGAGCTCCTCAAGGACTTATTTAGAATTTTAGTTTATTTTTATTTACTTTGATTGACATTGCTCAACAAGACGTTAAACGATCAATAATTGTATCTAGTTACACAATCAATTTTAACCTTATTTTTTATAAAACAAACTGCGTTAAAGTATACGAGTAACTAAGTTAATTATAATTGGATCAAAAGTTATTGAATTTATAATATTCGTGACTCACCTATATATTAAAGTCGTAATTAACCTTTTTACTTTTCTATTTAACATATAAGAAATCATTTATTAGCTTCGATGCGAAGCTGAGAAGGTATTGGTTTTACTAATATGTGTTTTTTTTTTATTTTTATTTTTTTTTGTGTCTGTTACCACTTTTTCTCAGCTTTCACCGAACCGATTTCTTTCAATGATACGTCAAAAGATCACAAATCGTATCTAGTCGAAGACTTACCCTCAAAAATTGAAAAAAATTCCCTCGTTCCCCGTAAATGGGGGAAACCTCCGAAAAAATTACAAATTTAAAAATGGCTAATTTTCGAAATTTCTTCAATTTTTTTTACTAAAAACTGCCGTAACTTTTTTAAAAATGAACATATCAATATAATTCTTTTTTTTATAGATGCATGATGTCATTACCTATCATTTGTTATATTTTTTTTATAAATCTGACTTTTTACCTGCCCACAGGGGGGGATTTAAAATGACAACTTTTTTACAAAAAATTAATTTTTTCAACTTAACTTTTGAAAGTGTTCCGGAAGGTCTGACACTTTTATATATATCTTAAATTAAAGCTAATGTAATATACTTTATAATGGTAAAAAAAAAATTCGGACTTCATTTTGTCTTCACGGTGAAAATGGCTACCAAATGCTATTATTGTGTGAAAATTCTCAATTTTATTTTTTACATTTTTAACTTTATAATGCTATAACTTATTGAAAAGTGTATTGATCAATATAATTTTTTTATGGGAAATACTATTTTTTAATAATCCCTTTTTCATTCGACATACTTTATCTTAATCAGGATATTAATAAGGAACTAGCAGTTTATGAAGCTTTTGGAATAATCCACCAATTTTTTAAAATTAAACACTATCTAAAGATTTGCATCGAAGCGTTTTTTTTTGATAGTGATTTTAATCACTGTCAGATATCATTATACTTGATCCAAATATGTCACGTCACCACTGTGCCGCGACCACCCTGTGGTGGGTTTTTTTTTTTATTATATTTGGTTGTGTGTAATCTCTAATCTCAGGTACGCACTGGCACATTGAAATAAAAAATTTAAAATTCGATAACAACTTTTAGAATAGTATAACGAACGGCAAGTGAGATGTGGCCGAGAAATGTCTGTTGATAAATATTGTCAATCCCGCGCCTCAACTCTAGTCAAAATTTGATAAAATAGTATTGACTTTCGAAAATATAAATCAACATTTGTTGTCAATCAGTCATATTCTTATTTAGATAATTTTTTATTTTATAAAATAATTAAATATTTGTGTTACCATTAAAAAAATAAAATTGACACCCTTTTAAAGTACAAGTGATGAATTGAAAAATAATAACTAATAAATCAAGAATATATGAAACTAAAAAATCCAGCACAGGGGGGTCGCGGCATAGTGGTGACGTGACAAAGTTGGATCAAGTATAATGATATCTGACAATGATTAAAATCACTATAAAAAAAAAACGCTTCGATGCAAATCTTTAGATAGTGTTTAATTTTAAAAAATTGGTGTATTATTCCAAAAGCTACATGATCTGCTAGTTCCTTATTAATATCCTAATTAAAATATAGTATGTCAAATGAAAAAGAGATTATTAAAAAAAATTATTTCTCATAAAAAATTGTATTGATCCATATATTTTTCAAAAATTTATAGCATTTTACAGTAAAAAATGTAAATTATAAAATCGAGAGTTTTCACACAAAAATAGCATTTGGTAGCCGTTTTCACCATGAAGACAAGTCCAGAGGTCAAATTTTTTTTTTTCAAATTAAAGTATATTACATTAGCTTTAATTTAAGATATATATAAAAGTGTCAGACCTTCCGGAACACTTTCAAAAGTTAAGTTGAAAAAGTTCTACTTTCTATATGCATTTTTTATATTTGAAGCCCCCCCATATATAGGGAAATAGTCTGATTTAAAAAAAAAGTATATCCAATGAAAGATGTATATAAATACTACTTCTCATGAAAAAATTGTATTGATCCATACATTTTTTAAAAAGTTATAGCACTTTAAAGTAAAAAATGTAAATTATAAAATCGAAAATTTTCACACAAAAATAGCATTCGGTAGCCGTTTTCACCATGAAGACAAGTCCAGAGGTCAAATTTTTTTTTTTCAAATTAAAGTATATTACATTAGCTTTAATTTAAGATATATATAAAAGTGTCAGACCTTCCGGAACATTTTCAAAAGTTAAGTTGAAAAAGTAAATTTTTTGTGAAAAAGTTGTCATTTTAAAACCCCCCCTGTGGGCAAATAAAGGGTGAAATTTACAAAAAAAAAATACCAAATGATAGGTAATGACATCAAGCATCTATAAAAAAAAAAAATTATATCAATACAGTTCATTTTTGAAAAAGTTACGGTAGTTTTTAGTAAAAAAAATTTTTAAAAATTTCGAAAATTAGCCATTTTTAAATTTGTAATTTTTTTGGAGGTTTCCCCCATTTACGGGGAATGAGGGAAATTTTTTCAATTTAAGGGTAATGTCTTCAACTAGATACGATTTGTGATCTTTTGACGTATCGTTGAAAGAAATCCGTTCGGTGTGAGCTGAGAAAAAGTGGTAACAGACACAAAAAAAAATCATAGTAAAACCAATACCTTCTCAGCTTCGCATCGAAGCTAAAAATGCATATAGAAAATAGAACTTTTTCAACTTAACTTTTGAAAGTGTTCCGGAAGGTCTGACACTTTTATATATATCTTAAATTAAAGGTAATGAAATATACTTTATTATGGAAAAAAAAAATTTGACCTCTGGACTTGTCTTCGTGGTGAAAATTAAACATCAAAGTTAATAAAAAATTACGATTTTTGGAAAATAATTTTTTTTTATATTTTTAACTTAATAATGCTATAACTTTTCGGAAAATGTATGGATCACTAAATTTTTTTTTTTATAAATGCTTGATGTCTTTACCTATCATTTGGCATATAATTTTTGTAAATCTGACACTTAATCTGTCCACAGGGGGGGATTTAAAATGACAACATTTTCAACTTAACTTTTAAAAATGTTCCGGAAGGTCTGACACTTTTATATATATCTTAAATTAAAGCTAATGTAATATACTTTATTTAAAAAAAAAAATTTGACCTCTGTAAATGTCTTCACGGTGAAAATGGCTACCGAATGCTATTTTCGTGTGAAAATTCTCGATTTTATTTTTTACATTTTTAACATTATAATGTTATAACTTATTGAAAAGTGTATGGATCAACACAATTTTTTTATGATAAATAATATTTTTTAATAATCCCTTTTTCATTCGACATACTTTATCTTAATCAGGATAATAATAAGAAACTAGCAGATCATGTTATTTTTTAGAATAATTCACCAATATTTTAAAATTAAACACTATCTAAAGATTTGAATCAAAGCGTTTTTTTTTTATAGTGATTTTAATCATTGTCAGATATCATTATACTTGATCCAACTATGTCACGTCACCATTCTGCCGCGACCCCCCTGTGCTGGGTTTTTTTTTCTCTATATACGAACTAAGCCTACAGTTTAGTTATGATATCCCTATAACGTTGACACTACAATCATTGGGTAGACCTGTAACTATAACTGTTGAAATAGCTACCGCACAAATTGACCGGCTGGTCAAACACTTTATTCTTAAGGCTTTCTCTGTCTCCGACTACTTTATTTCCTCTCACCTGTTGTTTCCGCGTACATCCGAGATGGGGCAACCCGCCTAAGTTTTGTTCAGGACTTCTTATATTTTTTGACAAAATTTTATATCGGCCGAACTAACGCAATCTCATTTTTGTTGCCTCAAGTTGCCTCTTACGACTGGTTAATGGGATGTGGAAGTATTCTTATCCCCTTCCATAGGGAATGAATGAAAATATATAAGTTTGGAATAAAATACTTTGGTATAATTTAGTTTACAATTAAAATTATTTAATTTAAAATAAATAATGAAAATGAGTCCAAAAAGTTATTCAACAAAATATTTTAAACGTTAAATTAAATAATAAACTAAATTGTATTTTTGTTTTTAGGTAAGACAGAAGAAACCAAAACCGGATGAGTAAAATAAATTTATATTTTAAAAGGTCATTTCATTGTTACTATCATCAAACCAGAAGAAAACATTTTATAACGCGATTGATCAAATATTTTTAAATATAACGCATTTTTATTAAATTATTTATGTTATAATATTTTAAAATTATTAAGTATTATAGAACCAAATTGATCAATATAAGTTATCATGTACGTTATTTTGACTAAGGTATATGGTTGTCAAACTTTGTGGCTATTTTCTAGAAGATAATGTGTTAATTTTATGATTTTTTATCATGATATTAAATTTTAAAATTTGTGGGTAAATAATAAGGTTCATGAGTTTAATATTATTAAACATAAATCAATTTTTTGGTTGTTCATATCAAAAGACTTAAATTCATTAACTTTTATGAGTTTCGCAAACTTTTTTCTTTCAAAAATATCAATAAAATTGAAAATAAGCTTTGAAAAAAGCCACATAATTTAATTCGGTATCTATAATTACTACTTTTTAGGTATGATTGTTATATTATTACATCATAGGTATAAATTATTATAAATATTGAAGTAAAATTAAGCGTGTATAAATTTTTAAAAATAAAATTTAATTTTACGATATATTGTTTTTATATTTATTCATTTAACTATAATTTATTTATGGATTAGGTCTCAACAAACCAATTACAAATATAGAGTAATAAAACTATTCAAAATAAATCAAAAAGCAAATATTTCTTTCCTTTATTTTTCAAGACAAGTAAATCTAATTAAAATTTTTAAATTTTATATATGTTTGTAGTATAAAAATAATAATTGTATAACTAATATTAGACTAAATTATTTTAAGAGTAATGAGAATTTGCAGTACATACATGGTTGATTTTATTTTTTCTTCCTTTAAAGTTTCATTATTAGAAAAATGGCCAATTTTTTAATTATAAAATTTTTTATTATAGGTTTTAAAATCCATACATATTATTTTGAAATATGGTATTTAAAAAATTTATATAAAAATATAAAAAATTATTTTTAAAATATAAAATGTTGAGACCTAAAAAACAGAATTTCTTAAATATTACTTGAACTTATAATCATAGAATATTGTTCACTGGAATATTTATTTTTATTTCCATATTCTACTTTTATTTAAACTTAGAATTTAAATAATAACAAAAACTACAATTTTTAAAATTTTTTTGTTCAAATGTTTATAATTTGGTAAGAAATATTTAATTAAAATTAACTAACATTTATACATTTTATGTAAATCTACTATTTGAAATATTGAGGTATAAGGTAATAAATGAAAAACAATAATAATTAACTTTACTCTGTTTTTTTAGAAATATCTAAAATTAGCTGCACTAACGCTCTTGTAGGTTTTCCAGACATGCCACTAGATATGTATGGACTATCTTTTCCATCAGTTTTCATTACACCAGCAATATCCATGTGTACCCATTCACCGGGTGGTGCAAATTCCTTTATATAATAAATAATTAAATAAATGAATAACATATCATACTAATCATGATGATAGCTGAATTACTTTTAAGAATGCAGCAGCAGTGCAAGCACCCCCTCCTTTTCCTTTGCCAATATTATCCAAGTCAAAACCAGTGTAACCTAAAAAAATTTGTTTTGTAACATGTATTAGAGTATTAAATATTTTTAAACTTTACCTTTAATTAAATTAGAATAGTAACTCCATAAGGGAAATCTCCACATTCTGTCACCAGTGTAATAACCAGCTGATTTAACATCATTCCAGACATTATCAGTTTTACTAAATACTCCTGTTGCAGCACCTCCTATTGCTACCATCATAGCACCTAACATATTATTTTTTTACATTAATTTATAATAATCGGTGAATTTTTTCATTTACCCTTTCTCAAATTACTTTAAAGAATCACAACTGATTATTCAAATTTTAATAATAAGTTAATTTTACAAATAAAATGTTGGGGAAATAACTTATAGTAATAATTATTGAGTAAATTATATTACCTGTTAATGTAGCTAAATCTAATGTAACCTTAGGTTCAAAGGTAGCAGCATAGCAGAGTGCATCTGCTAAAATTAATCTACCTTCAGCATCAGTATTATCTACTTGTATAGATTTTCCATTCATAGCAACAATTACATCTCCAGGTTTCAGTGCATTGCTACTTGGTAAATTCTCACATAAAGGAGTTAAACCTAAAAAATAAATATAAAACTGCATATTATCAATAAATTGTTTTAATAAAAAAAAATGTATAATCAAACATTTTAATTTACCAATAACATTAATAGGAACTTTCAATTCTGCAATCGCAGATATAGCAGCTACAACATTAGCTGCACCCATCATATCAGCTCGCATTTCACCCATAGACAATGATGGTTTAATAGATATGCCTCCACTATCAAAAGTTACACCTTTTCCTAAAAATAATTGCAGTTTTTATTTATTTTTGTAGCTATTCAAAAGTAATTTTAAATTTACCAACTAGTACAATAGGTTTTTGATTTTTACAACCTCCTGAATAGTTAATTTCTAAAAAAGCTAAAGGTTCATTACTACCTTTGGCTACATTTAGTAACCCTCCCATTTTTTTTTCTTCAGCCCATTGTTTGTCATGGACTACTACATTTACACCTTGCTTTCCCAGAACTTCTTGAACCTCCTAAACATATATTAAATATGTGAGTTCATAATACATTTATTACAGTATAAGGCTTACATTTGAGAATAAAGTTGGAGTCATATAATTAGCAGCAGATTCAGCTAGTTTTCTTGACCAATTTTGGGCTGTGGATTTTGCAACACCACAAAACCATTCATTCCTAGTTTTTTTTGGAAAAATTTTTTCATCATTTAATTAAAAAGTAAAAGTATAAAATCTGTAAGATTTGTTACTATATTGACTTATATTTATAATTAAGATTGAAAATTGTCATATTATTGTATTTATTTCACTGACATTATGATGCAATAATAAATAAAATTGAAAAACAAATATTTATTAGTATTATAGTAATGAACCAACTTTTCAGAATTTTCAAATAATGAAATTTTTGGTGTTGGGTCTTGTTTTTTCTTATATTCTTGGAATTTCCATGTTCCTAGTATTGCACCTTCAGCAGCACTTTCTGAGTCGCCCATTTCTGATACATCAATATCATAAATACCACAGTCCATTAGGCTGCGAGAACCAACTAAATAAATTGAAAATTTTTTAAAACTTGTTTATTTATGTTATTAATATTTTGAATGGAACCATGGCTTAATTCACACTAAGATATTATTTATTTATAGGTTTATTTTTAAAAATAAATAATATTTGTTTTATAACTTTGAGTAGGTTAACAATACAATTACACTGGTTGAGATGAAGTATAGTTTTTCAGAATACTTTTATACCTAATGAAAATTAGTCATTTGAAATAATTAAACCACTGTTTTGCTTAACACTTTATTCAATGATATATTATTATTACTTGCTGTTGCATCACGAATATTCTGTTTTTTAACATCAACTCCATCATCTAAATTGTTACTATCTATTTCTTCTTTACCAATACCAACTAATGCAATGGTTCCATACTTATTATTTGCATTATAAAACAATCTGGATTTTCCTTTTTTCAAAAAACCATTTCCACTAAAACAGTGCATGCAATTAAATATTTTAATTAAGATATTTAATTAATATATGTATATATATACATATCACACATTAAATAAATGGTTATAATATATTTATTTATTTGAAGTAAATAGTATTTTACTGAACTCACAGTTAAATATTTAAAATCTGTATTTGATCTCACTTATAATACTGAAAGAGTTATGTAACATACGTGAAAAGTAAATAAAAAAAACTGTAAATCATACAATAGTATAATTTATTTTCAATTGCATTATTTAATTACAGTAATATTTAACAAGAAACTTCTTATAATTCAAAAGCAATTCTAATTTATAAACTCTTGAGTTTATAAATGTCTAGGAAAAACAAATAGGAATTTTCCAATAATTTCGAGGTCAGGGAAGCACATAGTTACTGTAACATTTGATATTTAACTAACTCTTAATAGTAAAATATAATAACATAATAATAATATACAGAGTTTATACATCTACACTTAATATTATAATAAAAAATATAACACAAATATCACACCAGTTTAAATAATATTGCATACAAAAAGAATTACACTTACATTGATTACAACTAGAAAAAAAATATTGTAAAAATTGAACTATTATGAAAATCTACAAAATTAATCAATATTAAAAAAATTAAATCAATTCTAATACTTTAATTATTCCTTGACTATTAGCAGCCATAATTATGTTAGATGTTTGACGCCAACACACAGCAGAAACAAACTCATTAACATCATCATCTTTTCTTTTATCTTTTACTTCTTCAGCTTCACTTGATAAAATTGATGTGGATGGTTCAAACTTAAATGTAAACAGTCTCTTTTGCAATCCTTTATAGTACACATATAGAGAGTTGTTTTCTGAACCACAAGCTATATAATCACCATCTGTGGCTAAACCGACAAAATTTTTTTCATTAGTGTGACCTACAAATGAACGAAGACAACCTTCTGCTGCATCATCAACATTCCACAATTTTAATTGGCTGTCAGTTGAAGCAGAAACCATCTCTCTACCATTTAGGAACTTAACATATGATACCGCTTTTTTATGTCCTTTAAATGTAGCTAATGCACGTTTTGGATGCCGTAAATCATAATAATGAACACAATGATCAGCTGAGCCAAATGCTAGGTGCGATGAGCTATCTGGATTAAATTTAACACAACAAACATTTGCTTTTGCTTCAAGACAAGCAACAGATCGATCTTGATTCAATGTCCATAACTTTACTCGTGCATCATCTGATCCAGAAGCCATGAGACCAGCATCAGCTTTATTGAAGTCTACACTCCAACATCGTTTTTCATGTTCTCTGAATACTCTTGTTCGTTGGCCAGTACCTGCATCCCAAATAGAAACTGCACCTTCATAGTCACTACTAGCTATGGTATTTTTTCGAAATGAATTCCAACTAATACATGATATTTTTGATGCAGACACCATTTCTACACAAGGATAATGAATATCTACAGCGTCACGCAAAACACAATCATAATCAAAAACCTTAATTCGTTTTGTGACACCAGCTATAGCAAAATACTCATCATCTTTATCAAATTCAATACTTGAAACTATTGTAGAATTATTAAACATGTCAGTACCATAATTTAATGTGGCTATAGGTCTCAAAGAGTTATATCGAGAAAATTTGACTAAGTTTTCTCGAAATGCATCTAGACTGTTATCAGGGTCTTCTTCAATATTAACTGGTTCTACATTAATGTTGATTGGTTCTGCTAATGTTTTACCAAATACTAATTCTTTTGCTCTGAGAGAAAAATAACAATCAACAAAATCATCAAAGTGGGTACACATTCTTCGACGTTGAATATTACCACAGCCACCAGTATTTAAACTACTAATTAAATTCTCGTTTTGAAAATGATTTTTATCATTTGATTTTGAAGACTCTAAATCTGGTGTTGAAGATCTTTTAGCTTCCCAATCTTTTAATAATTTTTCAACAACTTCAACATCTCTTTTAACAATTTCTACTTGACGACCAATACGCTTCATTTGAGTTTCTTTTTCACAAAGCAACTTTTCTAAAAATTCATGAAGTAGCCGATTTTGAGCAAGAGCTGATTCTGCTTCAAGTTTTCGTTTTCGTTTAGTCAAAAGCTCTAACATAGCATCAACATCAGTGAGAGTTAATTTTTTTGATTCTGCAGTAACAAAACCTCGAAGACCAGAAACAATACCAGTTTTACACGAATCCATCTTACGGCGTGGATTTTGTAATTTAAATTTAGTCACTAACTTATCAAGAGCAAAATTAGGGAATACATCTCTAAGACCTCCTGATAAGTTATGACCACATTTTGGGCAAGTTGTCTTTGATTCTAGTGATGTAGATATACAGCTGTAGCAAAAAGAATGACCACATTTTGTGATATGTGCCTCATCAACTAGCTCATAACAAATGGGACAGCAATAATCTGAAGCAATTTTAGTAGAAGAATACTCATTTGAAGCAGATGACGCTAGATGTTGCCGTTTGACAGGGCGTGTAATTGGATTCTGTTCTTCAGTCATATCAGACATATCTTAACACATGTATGTTTGTGCTTACTTTTTATAAATATACTTCTTTACTTTTAAAACATTTTATTTTGTTGAAAACTGAAACAATAAGAAATAAAACCAGCAGTGAATTTTTTTGTTCTATTTAAATTTAATTGTGTAAAAATTATCCACTAAACTAAAATGTGTACTAATTAAAAAATAATACATTTTTTTAAAATTATGGACAAAAATATAGAAGAAAATTTCAAACTCTATAAAATAATAGTAAGAAAAATAATGCTAATAAATTTATCTCTTACTATTTCAGTCTATTCAACATAAAGAAATTACTTTTAAAGATTTTAGGAAAAAATTTTATGTAATTATTTATAAACAATTCAAAGGTTTTTTTTACAAAGTTTTTTCATTGTATCATTAAAAAGTAAAAATTAAAATGAATAGTTTTAGGTTCAGCTGATTCAAAATATATGAAACCATGAATCATTATATTATTTCATTATCATGTATTTGAACCTATTTTATTTATCACACCACTGATATTTTAGTACATATTTTTTTGAAGAATAGATGATAAAATAATAGGCATACCTGTTTTTACAGAATGTTCATTGAAGAAAAAAAAAGCACCTAAGCTCATTTAATATAACAAGACTTCAACTGATAATTAAATTAAAAATAACAGTAAAATAAAGTAGTATAAACTAAATTATTTGAGAAAAATAAAACTGAAAGCAAACTAAAAGAAGTATTAATAAATGATATTTATAGAAAATGATGAAATTATTAATTACTAATCACCCACAATTAACAGTAAATTAACTATAACTTACATTTTTAAGGCTTTAACAATGACATTGTTACTTTCTTGATTGATTTTTTCAGCTGATGGTGTCAGTTTTATGTTTTTACCCTCGTCATCTACATAAACACCAATAACAACACCTTTCTAAAATTAAAAATTTGAAATAAATATGGGTGAAACATATTTTTGCAGTCAAATTATTTTATTCAAATATAAGTTTAATGAGTTATAGATACCTAAATATTTTTATATTGTCAACTAGTTTAAAATATTGTTTTTATTCTGGATATACAAATAAGTGATAGACAGTAGAATTTCATTATATCAATTCCTACATTTATTCAGTTTATTTATCAAAACTATGATCTACATAAAATTTTACACTAAAAAGTGGAGTGACTTAAATTAAGCTAACTGATATTAGAACAATGTTTATTAAAATGATCTAGAAAGGCACAATATGTATAATGTACTAAAATAATATCTAAGCGAACATTCATGGAATTTTATTACAAACTACTTACAAAATGTTTAATAAAAGCCTGTATAAGTTTGCATAATATTAAAACTACATATTACCTTATAACTGTTGGTGGAACACTGACGACAGTTATAGTCGATGGCAATTCTAAGAAGAGGATTTCTTAGGTGTGTCAAAAACTGTGTAGAACGATAAGTATACATTGTGCTTAATGCCATGAAACGCACATCCGAACAAATGTCGGTTGGCGAAAGTAATAATTTATAATAGTTTTAAAATATAGACGACGAAAAAATAATTTTATTTTTAAGAAAAATTAATTCAAAAATGTGCATTAAAAACGCTTTAAAGTAACGTACGATTTTTTTGTTAGCTAACAAACTGATGGATGTTATCATTTATTCGATTATCACTTATCATGTGGTTAAAAACTTGTACCAGATTTGTCGCATACCTTTTAGAGCTACCAGTAGTTAGTAATATTATCTCTAGATAGCTGTAGTTAAATTTCACATGCTATTGACACGTCCTAAAAAATTGACTTACTTCGGAATTTTTCAGTGGACGCTTTAATACTTTTGATTTAAACATCATTAATTGTTTTATAGATACTAGAGATCATTCCGGACCAACAAAAAAGGCTCAATTCTATCCATACATTACAGAATTTTTTCAGTGCATATTTGCATCATAATTTTCAGTTTTTAAAAACTTACAAATTCACTTTATGAATGAAAAATCTTATTTTTTTCATAAAAATGTATAGCTTAAAATATTTAAAAAATGTTAAAGAGAAATGAAGTAAGTTTTTACTAGAGTAGAAAAAGTCGTTTGGATTTAAATGAAGGTTACTGTTGGGTAGTGGAGGGAATTTTCGTTCCTTTACTGGAATTGTTCCTTTCGGTACAGTTACTTAAAAGTAACGATTCCAAAGTACTCAGTACACTGGTACTTTTACTTTTTTGTAATTGAGTACCTTCATTGCGACCCGTCACCAAAACCAAACCAGTATTTATTCATCATATAAACAGTCGTATCTACGCGGTACATTAGTAGATACAGCACCAATTTTAAATCCCTGAATACGCCTATGCCATTTACTCATCAGGTAATATTTTAAAAGGCGCGAATGAATGCTTTTCAGAAAATGTTTAAATAAGAATTTTTTTTTAGCAATATATATATACAGAATTATTGATAGGCATAATATTAAATTTTAATGAAAAAAATAGATACCTTCCCACAGAATAAATAAATAACCGTATTTTTTAGACACGTACAGAATAATATAACATTACTTAAAATTCACCTTGACTATTATTTCCTTATTTTAATCAGATATTTTTATTATTTATGCACCATTAAACTTATTAATGTATGATATATAATATTATACTGTAATAGATACAATATTAATCGTTCAGTGATATATCAGAATATATTTTACTATATACGTATTTGTTTATATATACAAATATATTTGTATAATCGACTAGACAAATGAAAAATAAAGTATACCTAATTCCAATTATTTGGGCCTAGCAAATATGAAGTATAATCAATCATAACAGTTTAAATTATCATATTATTAACCAATATGTTTAATAACATACTGTTTTTTTTTTAAATTATATATTTCAAGATTAAAAATATCTTCAAAACAATATTTATTTAAAAAAATATTTTCAATCTCTTCTTAAAATTTTAAATCATTTATAGCATTATAATTTCGTTAAATTATTTAACTACATAAAAAACCTCTTCTAAAATTATATTGTTAATCAAAAATTACTACTTAAAAACAGTAACATCTCTGAATTTTTAACTATAAGTCTTTTACGCCTTTTAGTTATTGTATTTCCCACTTTAGAAAATGTCCGTTCGCACGGGACAGAAATTGAAGGAACACATAATCTCAACAATAGAAGATTAAATAAGTTAGGAAACATCATTTTCCTCTCATTCCACCATAACAAAGGATCCGACTTTCTTTCTATTATAGGCTCATTTAAATACCTATCTAACGGCTACGGCTTCAGTTTCACTTTGACTATTATCGTTCGTGTGGTACTGTTGTTCTATATCTGTTTAATGTATTTCTTTCTGTTGCTTTGACAAAATAAATCCAACTACTCGTTGTACAATCTTGTCATAAGTACGTTGATATGTAAAATGATTAACAAAACCTTTTTTTTTTAACGCGGATCTAAAAGAGCAGCTTCGGTAAGAACTGGCTTATCTTCAATACCTTGAAATTTTTTTTCGGTTTTGGTGATAATTTTGGCAAGCATTGTATGAATTACTTCGGGTAATTTAATATCATTAAATTTATCTTTAATATGAGACAATAATACACTTGTTAAAATTAATACTTTGGATATTGATACACTTCTTTCACTACTCAATTCAATAGTAATTTCTTTAAAGGGTTTAAAAATATCACAATAGTATTGCATTATATCACAGTCTTCATAAGATACCCGAGTAGCATTATTTTGGTTCACGGTCGGTTCAAGCGACCCACGAGTGCTGGGAGAGTTCTATGTTCAATAATGAACCGTGTAATTTTTTATAAGTTCCAGGAAAGTTCAGCGTTCAATAAATAACCGAACAATTTTTAGTAAGTGCTGGGACCGTTCAATGTTCAAAATAATTGTACGGATTCATCAAAGTTCTTTCATTATAATGAAAGAATCGTTGTAACGGTTATAGCCATTCAAATAGTTTTATTCACTTATATTGTTATTAAACATATTATCCCTTGATTAGTACATTAATAAAAAAAACTTTAAAATAATAGTTATAAATTATTTTCATTGAGACTATAGCGCAAATTTAACATACGAACTTTTGGCGGAATAACCAGACGTGTCAGTAACCGTTGACCAACAGCTTTAGTTCGCGCGATTTTTATTTGTTATTTAATTTTTACTGTGACATTTTTTCAAATTATCAACGATCGTTTTACTCTCTTTACAAATTATGTTTTGAGACATTCGCCATTTTCACAGCGACTAGATAACTTGTCAAGACTGCTCTTTATCCCTGTTCACTCTCACATATATATTTAACTGAAAAGTTCAATAAAATGTAAGTACATTTAATTTAAATTTAGGACTAAAATAATAAATAGTTATTTTAATTAATTTTAATAATAGCATATATTATTTTTTTAAAAGATAATCATACATTTTAGTAACTACATTTATTGTAATTGTAATAGATACAAGTGGTAAATTATATATTAAATTTTCACATTTTGTATTATGATTAATTATAATTATAATGCAAAATTATTTATTTTAATAAAGTACTATCGTTAGTTATGTTGTTATGAAGTTATTAACAGATACCTCAAGATTTTCCATGAGCTTAAAATGTTTTTAATCATATATCATTGTCGTTATCATCATATCCTAAGCCTTTATCCCAACTATTTGGGGTCAGCTCTAGCTTATTTTAGATCTTCTTATTTATTGATACATGTAATACAAATTACTTCTGTATTTTAATATTTAAAATGGTGCATTTTATATATTTCTCAAAATTCTATACATTGAAATACCATCTCTTAAAAAACTGTTGATTTTTAATGAAAATCCCTCTATTGTACTACTCAATAATTTAAATTTATCNCGCAAATGGCTACCATATTGAAAAATATACTATTTTTGTATGATAATTATGGGTTTTGTATTTTATTTTAATAGAAGTTGATGTTGCTTTTGCAATTATCCATCAATTTTTTAAAATTAAACACTATCTACAGATTTGCATCGAAGCGTTTCTTATGATAGTGATTTTAATCACTGTCAGATTAAATCTATACTGGACCCTACTATGCAATGTCTCCACTATGCCGCGACCCCACTGTGCTACCGTTTTTTTTTTTTAAATTATATATTTCAAGATTAAAAATATCTTCAAAACAATATTTATTTAAAAAAATATTTTCAATCTCTTCTTAAAATTTTAAATCATTTATAGCATTATAATTTCGTTAAATTATTTAACTACATAAAAAACCTCTTCTAAAATTATATTGTTAATCAAAAATGACTACTTAAAAACAGTAACATCTCTGAATTTTTAACTATAAGTCTTTTACGCCTTTTAGTTATTGTATTTCCCACTTTAGAAAATGTCCGTTCGCACGGGACAGAAATTGAAGGAACACATAATCTCAACAATAGAAGATTAAATAAGTTAGGAAACATCATTTTCCTCTCATTCCACCATAACAAAGGATCCGACTTTCTTTCTATTATAGGCTCATTTAAATACCTATCTAACGGCTACGGCTTCAGTTTCACTTTGACTATTATCGTTCGTGTGGTACTGTTGTTCTATATCTGTTTAATGTATTTCTTTCTGTTGCTTTGACAAAATAAATCCAACTACTCGTTGTACAATCTTGTCATAAGTACGTTGATATGTAAAATGATTAACAAAACCTTTTTTTTTTAACGCGGATCTAAAAGAGCAGCTTTGGTAAGAACTGGCTTATCTTCAATACCTTGAAATTTTTTTTCGGTTTTGGTGATAATTTTGGCAAGCATTGTATGAATTACTTCGGGTAATTTAATATCATTAAATTTATCTTTAATATGAGACAATAATACACTTGTTAAAATTAATACTTTGGATATTGACACACTTCTTTCACTACTCAATTCAATAGTAATTTCTTAAAAATATCACAATAGTATTGCATTATATCACAGTCTTCATAAGATATATTCTCAATATAACCTAAAATTGCTACTGTAGATATTATTGATTCTTTCATTCGAATACATCTCTCAAACATATCGTACGTAAAATTCCTCCTCGTCGTTATGTCTAGAATGAGTTTAACCCATTTGTTTTTGCATATTTTTTAATTTACTGTAAGCCTGAGAACTACGTTTAAAATGTTCAACGACGCNAATATATATATATATATAATTTAATTTATTATAATTGATGAGTTATTGTTTTTTTTTCTTTCCAGAAAAATGTTTTGTTGCTTAAAGTGGGTACCATTAAAAGTTTCAGTGCATATACGAGAACAGCATTTGATTTTTGTATGACAAGAGAAATGGCCGCAAATTTTAGTTTTTGTGACAACACCAAACAAGCTTTTAATAAGCTTCACATTTTTTAGGTAATTCGTGGTATGAACATTAAACTGTAATAAAAATGCAAATTGAATATGTTAATATATTGGTAGCGCCTTAGTAAATCAAACTAAGTCTGGAAGACTAATTTTGAAACTACAAAGAAAAAATAACTTTTTAATTTATACTACATTTTTCATAGAAAAACTTGAATGATTTTGGGGTGTCGTGTGTACAGATCATGCTATGTTGGTTAAAATGCTGTCATTGAAGAAGCCATAAGGTTTCAAACAATATAAAGATTGTTGGTGTAAATCCCAAACAGACTTACTTCTTTTTATTACAGAGAAAAAATACTGGTTATATCATAGTATAATTAGTATTTTTATTCTTTTCTAAATAGCAGTTAAAAAATCATTGTATAAAAAGAAATGAAGATGATGCTACAACCTGTATACAGGAGTGATCCTAGTAGTAAATTTTATGGGGGTGTGAAGTGAATATTGCCGACAAAGTACTTTCATGGATACAAAATTCTACAAATTATTTTAAAAATGCCGTCTTATGATTTTAATAAACTTTGGGGTTCCCCACACTCTTCTATGAAATAGTCCCTTCTATACAACATGTTTTGCCTGTGCTCCGTCCATCTGTTGTATAGATATACTACATGTTCAATAAATAAAGAAAAACAAGCCAATTGTTACGAATAATGGGAACCCTTATCCTTAATTTTTGAATCCTTGTATGTTCTATACAAATATATTTACTAGTTATTATATGTACTAATGTTTGTTTATTTTTTATTTTTTAGATGCTATGTCTGGCTAAATTATAATACCTGAACACGAAAGAACATTTAACAAAATAATAGCTAATATTTTAAAGCATTCTGGTAATAAAGCATCATAGCAATAAAATCCTTTTTTTTTTTTATTATTCAATCAACATTTCATTTTTTTGTAAATGACTTTTAAAATTTATTTACTTAGATTATTTCACTGTTTTTTTTTTATTAATAAGTAAAAACAAAATATAGCATTTTAGGTATCAAAATAAAAACAGTAAAAAAAAACATGGTAATCTTATGCCATCTTATTGTATAAGTTCACCCCATGTTAAAATCCGTATTCAAATCTCATTTTGAACCGTGCTGTGAACGGGTTTTGAACTGAGTTCAGCACCGTNCCGTGAACGGGTTTTGAACCGAGTTCAGCACCGTTGTTACTATATTAAATGAACCCGGTATGAACTCGAATTGCTACTCGGCGGGATATAATATATCAAAGAATTGTCCTACACATACAAGTTTATATTCTTTTATTAATCGACCACTTTCTTTGTCTAAAGAATAACTTATAGACGAGCAATAAGGGATAATGNGAATAACTTATAGACGAGCAATAAGGGATAATGGTTGCAAAAGAATTTCAACCATTAAGCCTCGTTGAAAATATTGAATTTCAAAAATTAATTAATTTATTGAACCCTATTTATAAATTACCTTCACGTAAAACTTTATCTAAATCAATTTTGCCACAATTATACGCAAAAGCTAAAGAAAAAGTTAAAACGAATTTAATTAATTCGCAATATATTGCATTTACAACTGATAGGTGAACATCCCTTAATAATGACAGTTTTGTTGCATTAACTATTCATTATATTGACAAAAATGAATGCACTTTAAAGTCTTTTTTACTAGGGTGTTATTATTTTGAAAAATCGCATACGGCAAATAATTTGTCAATATTTTTAAATAATTGTTTGAAAGAATGGGAAATAACTGAAAAAGTTAATATAGTAGTAAGTGACAGCGCCGCTAATATTACAACTGCCATAAATATGAATAAAAATTGGTGTCATATACCTTGCTTAGCTCATAGTATTAATACTATTGCCCAAAGCGGATTAGATGCAATACAAATTGTCCATAAAAAAGTTTAACGCGTCGTTGAACATTTTAAACGTAGTTCTCAGGCTTACAGTAAATTAAAAAATATGCAAAAACAAATGGGTTAAACTCATTCTAGACATAACGACGAGGAGGAATTTTACGTATGATATGTTTGAGAGATGTATTCGAATGAAAGAATCAATAATATCTACAGTAGCAATTTTAGGTAATATTGAGAATATACCCGAGTAGCAATTCGAGTTCATACTGGGTTCATTTAATATAGTAACAACGGTGCTGAACTCAGTTCAAAACCCGTTCACAGCACGGTTCAAAATGAGATTTGAATACGGATTTTAACATGGGGTGAAC